AATAATGTTGTAGGGGTAAAAATTTTGATAAAAGCGGCAAAATAAGTTGAACTCGTTCTTCACTATAAAATTCGCAAAATAGAAGGATGTGTGTGACAGATTCTACCTTATTAGACATACAGGGGCAGAGACGCGCATGCATTGGTACCCGCGTGAATTTGCCGTACAGCACTGCTGAGGGCATTGCAATATTCAACTTTTTGTTGCTTGCAAATTTCTCACCACATATTAAGCATACTGGTAAACCAGTCTTGTCAGTAGAGAATGCAAATGATTCTGTCCATGTATCATTAAACACTCTGTTTTCTTCAGAAATTTTTCTTTTCTTGCCTTTATCCATGGCTGGCCTATCGGGGGTCTAAAACAGGGATGTCATCCTCCTCCTCACAGTCGTAGACCTGCATGCGCGCCGCTGCCCTCCGATCTGACAGCGGGCGGGAAGGTGACATCAGGACGGTGTGTGACTAACACACGCACCGCCCCCATGTGACGTCACAGCCAGTACAGCGCCCACCACAGTGGGGAGTGTCGGGGCGCACAATGCGCCTCCTCCCCTCACTAGTATCTGCCCCGGAGCCGTGGCAAAGGTGTAAAAGAGCCACATGCGGCTCCGGAGCTGCGGGTTGCCGACCCCTGGTCTAGCCAGTTTTTAAAAGTCCTCGGGACTGAAGGGTACTTGCTTTTGCGTTTACCATAAGAGGGCCTCTTTTCTCCCCTCCCCAACTCCTCAGCTGGGGGAACCAATTGGAACATGTCAACGAACTTCCCATTCAAAATCTTAGCCCGCATTTTTGGTGAGAGGTGGTCCCCTGGGATGACATCTGCAGTAGTGTAAGTGGAAGTAGTCAAATCTTTAGCTAGGGCCCCATTCTTCCACTCCTGAGCTCCCCTGAACTTTTTACGGTAGGAATTAGGTCTCCTGGAGAGAGCCCAATCTGGGAGCCCCGAAATCTTCTCCCCTCTACCCCAATAAGAGCCAAGGGAGGCATCACTGTCATACTCAGAGGAGCTACCTGCGTCATCGTTCGTGTCTTCAACCTTCAACTTGATTTTCTTGCAAACATGCTTTTTCTTTGTGCGTCTTTTCCCTGACGGCTTGTCTTCTGTCACCGCCTGAGGCTCCTGTTGGCAATCAGCCCCCTCGGGAAAGGCTGACTCCTTCCCAGGCTCTGGGGCCTCTTGCCGGTGATTTGCCCCTGGCTGGTCTTCGGTCAGTCCAGGGAGATCGGTAATAAGTGACACCTCCCTCTTGAGAGATGCACACTCCCTTTCCCTTTGCATCTCAGCAGAAGAAAGTAAACAGTCTGAAAGTAGTCTAACTCATTCTACTTTATTCCCAGACTGTACACTGTACACAAGCTAGTACAAAACATGTCTGCTCTCTCAAAAGCCTCCGTACAACTCACTCCACCCTCCTTTGCAGCAACAACAGGAAGGTCTCAGGTTACACTGAGAACACAACCTTGAAAGCAGCGTTGGACATCCTGTCTTGCACTCAGTAACATCAGAAGAATCACATGATGTAAACAATGTGCTGCTATCATGCAGCTGGTGAGCACTCATATCCCAACAGCTCCTCCTCCAACTGCTGCTGCTTCTCCTCACCCGCCGATGATGTGCCCGATTCCGGGAGCTGAACCCTGGCCTGCTTATTCTGTAAAGAAGTAGAAGCGACCGGGTTATTACTACGGGTCGACCTATGCACAGCCGCCCTACTTCGGCTCTGAGGGTCGCTTGCTGCTGAGCGAGCCGCTGACCAGGACAGAGAGCTAGTAACCGCCCTTGTAAATTGAGAGTCGCTAAAGAGGGCGGCAGAGGTGCTCGGAAGATCCTCAGCCTGGGAAAGAGGTGGGCTCTCCGGAATGACCTGCGCATAAGCTGGGCTATCCGGAAGTGTATCAGGAATGGCGTCGGGGGAGGGAGTTGGACTGTGGGGTTGATCAGGAAAGCGTTGTTCATAGTCATCAATGAATGATTTGAAAGCATTCAGAAAATGTGAAATAGGTTTGGGGTTGTTATTTCTACTGCGTGGCGCCCGTGATGGGGTACAGTTAGCGGCCACAGTGTGTGCTGGTTCCCCAGCTGCGCGTTTCCTCTTGGGTGCTATGAGCTGTGAAACAAAATATACGAAGGGCCACAGGCACGGGCTATTGCTCTAGAAGAATGTACCTAATTACTGAGTCACTTATTAGTTTTTTATTTTTTTATTTTTTTATTAGTTTGTTTTAATTATTTGATTATCAATATGTAATTTTTCCTTTTTTAAAAAAAACCATATTTAATTATTTATTTTAAATTACCTTATCTATTTATTTGTTGTTATTGTTTATTATTATTTCTTTTGTTTTCTTTTTTAATTAATTAAGTGTATTGATATTAAATGTTAATATGTTATTAATATTCAATATTAATGTTTATTAACTATAGTTTGGTCGCAATAGCTGATGAGCTAGATATTATTACTATCACTTCTGAATTAATAGCCAATGCTAGCAAGTCAAATGAATTATATTTATGTTATAATGAATTACCCCTGACCTGGCAGGCACTTAAGTTAACAATAGCCAGAACTGCCGGTCATAAAGGTGAACAATGTATCCTGCCAGGCAGCTGTTCCCTGAAAATATTTAGCTGGCAGCAATTCTAAAGTCAGACACTGACAGATGCAAATAAAACGGGCAGGAGCTGTTCCCCTGAAACGATTTAGCTGATGGGGTTAAAAAGGAAACCAGCAATAGAAAGAGGGCAAGAAGCTGCTGTTTAACCAAACAACGATACCAGACACAAGGGGGGCGGGGTTTAAAAGAGAGATAGCAACAAACACCGGCAAGCAGGAACACTAGTAATTAAGAAACAGCAGATATTGCAAGGTAGCTAGCCCCACAATCGCCCCACAGCACCAATTGGTGGCTGCCTGGTTAATCCAGCTGAACGCAGCCCACGCGCTGCGTCCAAATCGCCTGAGAAAATCTCCCTCAACAATACAATGCTTTAGCGCGACCCGAAGGAGATTTTATATTTTAAAATTATCCCCAAGGGACGACGCCAACCCCCGAAAGGCTCACGCGTTATACTCTGGTATGTGGAAGGGGGGGGGGGAGGAAAAAGGAACTCTGAGGGAAACCAGGCACCAAAACCTGCTGACTTCCGTCAAAGGCGTGGGTGGCGGGCTGACCAAAATTACAACAGGGAAAAACCAGGCTATACATCAAAGGCCTTTTACAACTGATAAAGTAGTAAAACATAGAAATCAGAAAGAGATAACCAGACAGGAGGAGTTGACCATGTCAGATCACTTATCTCCTCGAAATCACAATAATCTTCCACAATAATCATCCAATATAGGGGGGGAAGCAGCATAGAGGAAGCAGCGCGAAGGGGCTTCTGCAATCTGTGCAGTCCACTGTCCACCTCATCCCTTAACCTTTCCTGAGCCTTGTGTTGCTGGCAGCTTTGGCAATGGTGGGGGCGGGGGGGGGGGAGAATCATTGAAGGGATCTCAGCCCCTTTTATCTCTACAATTCTGATTTAATGACCTTCCCTGGTCTTCCTCAGCTCTGGATCACTGAGAAATCGTAGTGCCTTCTTCCTTCTTACTGCTGTTGTCTAAGGCAGTTACAAGTACACACCCCTCTTCTTCTGTTTACTGGTAAAAGCAAAGTTGCCCGTCTCCTTTCCCTCCCCACCTTTGCAGTATTTTAGGTTTCTAACATTCTGTAGTGCTTTGAAAATTGAGTCTTTGAGCCTATAATGTTCAAAGAGAATTACCACATCCCTTGGAGCTTCCCAGGTTCTGCTTCTGCATCCTGGAATCCAATGAGCTCTTTTTATGTAATTGGAGGATCATGGTATGTTTAAATTCAGGGAGAGTATCCAATAAATAATGAACTGAACTATGTCCCCCTTCCCCTTTCCTGGTCCTCCAGTAGGCCTCATAGATGATGTGGGAGAATCAGAACCTACAGGGTTAAGAGGTTCTGTGTGTGACGTCTTGCATCATGAGGCGTGGTTCCGCACAGACGCTTATGGGAGTGGTTTTGCTCAGTAAGTTAGTCTGCCTCTGGTACGCTCTGCGAGAGGAGGATGGGCGAGGTTTCGCCAGGACCTGATTTACGATCTGTTATTCTACTTGATTAAAAGCTAAGAAGATAAGGAAAGCCTTGTGTCTGCGTTGAGTTATTCCCACACGCTGCATTTTGCTTTAACTGCTGCGTTTTTCTCTGCTACCGGCTGAAGAGGCAGAGAAGGGAGAGCGGCACGGAGAGATAGCAGAGCTGCGCAATTGAAGCGTGCCGGACGCCATGTTGAATGGCCTATCTCGTCACTTTTGGCCTCTTAGCCGGCATAGATGATCCCCCCCCATCCCTGTCCAATTGTTCCGCCAGTTCATCTCCAAACCTTCAGTCATCATTTATAAGAGCTGGATCTCAGACTGGTTGGTTAGATGCAAGATTGTGTGTATCATTTGCTGTTTTAGAAATAGAAAATCTGATAGTTGGTTAGAAAGCGTATCAAATTTCTGCTCAAATGATGCCAGGGCTACTCTCCAAGGCCAGTACATGCCTTATTTTATTAATGTACTCATTGAATTTCTGTCCTCAATTATTGCAGCTACTTTGCGTGCTGAGGTCCCCCAAAACACCCCTACCCCAAATAACTCACACTTCACACATAATTTTTGTTTAAGGTTTTTGGCATAATTTTGGCCACAACTTTATTATCATACATAATTGTGAGTGGTTGCTTAGGCATTGGTTAAGACTATCTGTCCCCCCGCCTTGGGGACAGCACTGACTTCCGGATTCCAGCGAAAGCCAGTGTGGAGGAACAAGTTCCGGGATAACTGGAGCTGCGACACAGACCCTCAGCTTCTCCCCACATGCTCCTAGGGGCTTATGCGGCCCAAACCCGATTCCAGGGGTTTGGACGAAAGGATGGTAAGCCCCTGAATTCCTTTAATGGAATTCCCGTGCAGCAGCATCACCTGAGGGGCAGGCACAGCCAATCCATACCCCTCCACCAACCAATTTAAACCAATGCCTAACCGCCACCCGAGCCCTTACGCTCGCCGCCAACCACTCACAAACTTAAACACACCCTCAACTTAGCCACCACTGACCTCAACCATACATCATTCCCAACTGAGGTAAGATGGACCCCATCCAACCTGTAGCAATCAGTGGCTTTAACATTAATATCTGGGTGGGGAATCACAAGCCCACCCAGATCAGACACCAGCTTGCTCGCAGCCGAATTAATACGCTTCCGCACCCTTTCGGTGGCCGCAGGGCAGGGACTACCCCTCCAGATGCAACGCTGAAGCAATGGGACCAAATTATCTTAGTAGCGGGCACCAAGGCCGCCAAGTCCCTCAAATCCTGCAAAATAATAGCACGTAAAACATAACAAGAAGAGGAAACCATATCGTTTTCCCCGAGCTGCACCACAATCGCCGTAGGGGGGCCCTCCAGAAGAACACGCCTCTGCATGAGCGGTAAGAATTCCTTCCATAGCATCCCCCTTCTGGAGATCCAGGACACTTGCAAGTGCTGAGGAAAGCCAAGGCCAGCTCCCAATTCGGATTGCCGAGCTCTGCAAGCAGCCCAATGCACAATACTGTGCCCCACTATCCAGACCCGGATAGTGGGTAGACCTAGGGTAAAACAACAGATGTGAGTACATGAAATCAACATCATTTCCACACATAACCCCTGTATGCGCCCGACTTCCAACAGCCCAGGTCTTTAATCCTCTTAACCAACAAGCCCCAATGGGCAGCTGTCGTTGCAGCCCCAATCCTGAAGGAATGCGGAGCAAATTCAGAGGCTGCATGGCCACAAGCAGCAACGACTTTGCGCAAGACACCGGTGAACTGATGACGCGCCAATGGACGCCCATCTTCATGAATGAACAGGGGCCCCTCTCCAGGAGGCCACAAAGCCATATATTTCTGGAGATCCTTAACTGGGCAAGGCCCCCCTAGCCCAGTTGCTGGGAGCCGAATAACTGCTCCCCTACCCAGCTGATCAGTTTTGGAACTCCTGACATGGACCTGCAGTTCCGACTGAGACAGGCTCACGTCCTGCAGCAACAAACCTCTAGAACCTCCATCCTGCTTAGGTTCAAACACCACCTCCCCAACTCTCAGGGCCCCAAAAAAGGCTAACGAATAGGCTGCGGAAAATAACCGAGCCTCAAACCTGGACCAACAGATGCCCTTCAATTTACTTCGCATCTCGGTCAGCAATCCAAACGTTATAGGCCTCCTCGTAGCTGGTCTGGATGGGCAGAGACGTCCCCATCCCTCCAGTGCCTTGCGCACCACGAACTTCCCACAAGGATCATTATTAAAATAAACCTTGCTAAAGAAGGAAATTGCAGCTGAATGCAATCTCAGGGTCCTGGCTGCCCGCCGCATCTGAAACAGATGCGCCAAATATTGGAGCACCTGTGCGGTAGAATGAGGTGTGCCTATTCCCCCTACCACTGACCGCCCAGTAAAATGCAAAAAATCAGTCCAAGCCTTCTTATAGGACCGCAATGTGGAGGGGGCAATAGATGCAGCTACTTCCTGTAAAACTAAGGTTCCAGAGATGATCCGGGGAAAAATTCCGGACGGTCTCGAGCCACTGGCGCCAGGGACCTGAACTGCCGCATCTGAAAACAGGACAGAGCATCAGCAATCTCGTTAGACACTCCGGGAACAAAACGAGCAGAAAATACAATGTTAAAGCGCAAGCAATGTAAAACAAAAACCCTTAGCAGGGCTGATACCCTAGGTGATTGTGAAGACTGCTTGGCAAGCACATTCACCACCGCCAGGTTATCTGTCCAAAAACATACACGCCGGTCCCTGAAATGCTCGACCCACAAATGGACAGCCACTACAATGGGAAAAAACTCAAGAAAAGTTAGGTCCCGAGTTATGGCCTCCCCACGCCAAGCCAGAGGCCACCGCTCGGCACACCACCTGCCATCCCAATACAAACCAAAACCCAATGACCCTGCAGCATCTGAGTGCACCTGAAAATCATTACAAAGGTTCAAGGTGTCCTGCCAAAGTGACACCCCGTTGAATTCCTCCAGGAATTCCAACCAAATACGAAGATCCGCACGCACCTGAGCTGACAGGCACACTCTATGCCTTGGGGACCTCAAACCAGACATAAGTCTGGCCAAACGGGAACAGAAAGGCCGCCCCGGAGTGATCACCCTACAAGCAAAATTAGGTGGCCCAGCAACGACTGCAGTTGTCGCAGAGTAACCTTTTTCAAGGGAATGAGGTCAGAGATGACGCCTTTTAGCATGAGAATCTTATCCGCCGGCAAACTGGAAGTTTGTGCCACCGTGTCCAACAAAATACCCAGGTAAGTCAGCTGCGTAGAAGGACCCTCAGTCTTCTCCGCGGCTAACGGCACGCCCAGCTCCTCAGTTAAGGCCGCGAAGGCCTGCAGCAACACCACGCAGTTTCCCGTATTGCTAGCTGAGGCCAATAAAAAATCATCGAGATAATGAGTGACTCCGCCCAAACCAGTTCTTTTGCGCAGAGCCCAGTCCAGAAAGGAACTAAAACACTCAAAGGCCGCACAGGCTACAGAGCAGCCCATGGGCATGGCCTTGTCAAAGTAAAATTCCCCATCAAACTGAAATCCCAGCAGCCAGAAGTCGTCGGGATGAATTGGAAGCAGCCGAAATGCAGACTCAATGTCGCATTTGGCTAGCAGGGCACCCTGCCCAAATTTCCTTATCATTTTGATCGCTTGATCAAGCGAGGCATACTTCACGGAACAAAGCTCCGGGGGAATAACATCATTTACTGATGTGCCCCTAGGGTGAGAAAGGTTGTGAATCAGGCGTAATTCCCCCGGATCTTTTTTAGGAACTATACCTAAGGGTGAAATATGTAGATTGGGAAAGGGCGAATCGGCAAAAGGGCTGGCCATACGTCGTAAAGCCAGTTCTTTCCCAATTTTCTTACGCGCGACCTCCGGCATTTCCCTCACAGACTTCTGGTTTGAAGGGTTCCTAGCTACTGGAGTTGATGCCACTGGGATTCGAAAGCCCAGAGAAAAGCCGTCACGCAAATAAGACGCTGCTTCCTGAAGAGGGTATAACTGTAACCATGACAACAACGGCTGTAGCTTAACCAGGGTATAAGCTAAAGAGGAAAGTACACTATTTTCCTGCTCCGGAGACTGTAGCCTGGGGGGGCAGCCTTTGGGGGCTGCTGAGAGCCCCCCCCTTTCCGAAAGGGCCGTCGAACCCCTGCACAAGAAGATGCTGGATGGTTCCCCGAACACTTCTCACAACTATGAGAATATCTGCAGAACTGGCGCTGACAGGTACCCTTGTTAAAATCCCAACAAAAGAACTTGCGACCCATCTTAGCTGGCACATTCTTAGGTTTCTGCGAATCAGGGACCTTATTATCGATACGTGGAGCCACATAAGTAGTCCAGACATCTAAATCCTTGCGATCCCAGCGGGCAGTGGGGATCTTGGCAGCCCTGCGTCTAAAATTCTCATCATAAGAAATTGCAGCAGACGCTCCAGCCATCGTAAATGCTGAACGGACTATGGACAAATAAACCCATAAGTGCATGGACCTCCGTGGGTAAGCCGCTGCCACCACTCCAGCGAACACTTGGAAACTATCCAACCATCGATCGAAGGTCCTTTCCACTTTTGGCAAGACCACCCTCCTTTTTGTGGCTGCCAAACCCCTATCCTGCGAGTCCTGACCCTCCTGAGGGGGTGCCAAGCTAAAAATATCAATGTAACGGCCATCCAGAATCCTGGATCGCAGTTTAGTAGGCAAGTGGGCACCGGGTATAATATCCCTAGCTGAATTGGTAGAGACCTTCACGTCAGGCATGAGGACCCCTTCCAGACATTCCTGCACCGCCCCATACTTTGCCCTGTGAGAGTTTGCCCTCCGCTCCCAAGCCCATTTTGGGAGGCCTGAGGTCTCCCCAAAGCCCCAGTACAGCTTAAGCGAAGATTCCTCATCGCTACTGGAGGTTTGAGACGAAGTACCTGCGGAAGAGGACGAAGTGTCTCTCCGTCTCCTCTTGGTGCGCCTCTTAGAACTCTTCTTTCGGCGACGAAGCCCACCGGAAGAAGACTTTGGAGGTGGAGGAAGGCTGTCCTCCACAGAAGACTCCGATCCATCGCCTTGCAGCACCTCGCCTGAAACTGACTGAAAAGAGACTACAGGTGAATGACCAGGAACAGACCTCACTGCTGATGAGGACTGCACAGCTGAACCCCAAGCCGCCCGAATCCGGGCGGATGTCCTCCGCCTGGTTGTACCCCTGGGGCCACCCCGTACCCTTGGCGCTGCAGCCTGGGAGGCAGGTAAGACCGGAGACTGGGCCAATTGAGTAGTATGCGAAAGACCCCCGGCTGACAAATCCTCCCCCTCATCTTCAGAAGAAGATGACACCGAAGGAGGTGCACCAACAGGCGGAGCTGGGCTAGCAGGAGAAGTCGTCGGAGTCGAGCAGCGTTGAATCAAACCATCCATTTCAGCCTCAACACGTGCTAATGCCACTGGGTCACTAGCCAAGCCAGTGACCATGGATTGAAGGCGTCTCAAAGATTGCTGTGGCACCGGAGAACGTAAGGCCTGGGACGGGCCTTTTATGGGCCTCTTTGCTGAGGAAGCAAGATCAAGCCTCCTTGACGCCTTCTTCTTTGGAGCCATACCTGCTACTAGTGAAAAATAAATAATAAAATTAATCCAAGCCAACACAAGTGTACTGTATTGTATATGGATAGCTAAAGCGGCCAGTAAATCCAATCAATCCCAATTGGTTGCAGTTATATGGCTCACCAGCAGGTGGCGCAGCGTAATTAAAGTCAATGGAATAACTGCGCTTACAAAAAATGGCCACTAGAGGCCAGCACACAATGAGACAGGCAGGATAAAATGGTGCTCCCGCCAAAATTCCCAAAATGGAGGCCCTCCAACTGCCCCAAGCAGAAGGCCTCCCCCAAAGGCCCGAAACAGGCCGCAAACAGGCCTCTAAACACCAAAGGCCGCTGTGCGCGCTAAGCGCCAATGGCTAGAACCGCGACGTCCGCGGAACGCCCCACGCGGCCTAAAACTGCCCAATTCCACCAGGCCTCAATCGCCGTAGCGCGGCAGAAGCCGCTACTGCTCGGAGCTGGGGGGGGTGACCAAGGAAGGCCCCCCAGCCCAGCAATCAGTCCCGCGGCCCCCTACCAGCTCCCCCCCCGCTGTTCCCTCCAATACCCTGGAAAGGAAAAAACCGCCGAGCGCCACGCGCGAATCGGCAGCTCCAATGGTGCCTGCGCGGAGCCTCCGCGCCAGCCGGCCCGCCCCGGTTGTGCAGGGAGTGCGCCGAGGCACCCGGAGAGTAGCAGCTGCCGGGGAAAGCCAGAGAAAGACCACACGACGTGGTAAGCACTTTTAGTTCTAATTGAACCCAGAAGTATTAAGGGGGGGGGAGAGAAGGCGAAGGCCCGGAGGCCAAAACAACCCCCACCCCGGCGCTCCGGCTGCGAACCGGGCCAAAAGGCCTAGGGTCCGCCCCCCCGAGCCCCGCAGGGCCAAAAGCCCACACGGAAGGTTGGGGGGGAGGCTATAAAGTGGAAAACAAGAGTCAGGAAAAACAGATAAAATGAAAAACTAGAGATAAAGAACCAGAAATTAAATAAGAGAGAGGAGGGGGGAATTTGGGAAGGATAGTCACAAGAGGCCAAGAGCAAATAAATAAAGAAAAGGGGATAAAATGGGAAAAGAAATATAGATTTATACAACTAGTCCTTAGCTGTGTTCGATCCGATGCCCACAGCGAAAGAGAAAGCAACTTTCTGTGGGCCTTGCTTAAATATCCTCTGATCTCCACCCCCAAATTGGCAACATACAATTTGCCCCAGCAACACCAACACCAATCCTGGCCAGGCCCCTTCCTTCGCTTCTGCCTGGCAACTACAGGGGTGCTTTGCCTGGCCCCAGCCGCAACACGTGCTCTCCCTTAATGAGAACACGCTTTCCCGCCTTTTGGGGCCTTCATGTTGCCTTTAGTCATGTTAGTGTCTGAGGCCTCTTCTGAAGCCCTGAGACAGAGCTCCAACTATTTCTCCATGAAGATCTAACCTTTCAAGACTCACTTTTTGGTCTCCATATTCCTTGGATCATCACCTTGATGATTAGATGTCAATAGGATTGACTCTGCTTAGATTTTGTCTCAGGGGAATTGGAGACACAGAAATATGCCACCATTTAGTGCAGGTCCATCATCTGCTTGTTGTGAGAAGAAATGCACTGTTCCACACTGCAAAAGCCTTTAAATGTGTCCGTTCTCATATAGAGATTTTATTTGTTTACAGTTTAGCCACTAGGTGGCATGAACACTTGTTGTCCTATTAAAGAAGTGTGTCTAACAGTCTAACTGCATGTCATGTCAATTATAAATTACATGGGTTGTTTTTTTTAAAAAATAACCAGCTGTGTTTATGTGTGTGTGTGCACCCATAGGGGTATGTCTAGCCCATACTTAACATTTAGAATGACGTGTTTTCCTGATCTGTGTTAAATATAACTTTGTCTTCAGTTTTGCTTAATGTTTACTGTTCTTTTTGCAATGCTATTGTATAATTATTAATAGAAGCCTGCCAATAAACCAAATAGCTCAACTTTGGAACTTGTTCCTGCAGGAAGGAGTGATGGAAACTTGATGGCTTTAAAACAGGATTGGAGAAATTCATGGAGCTGGAAGCAATCAATAGCTACTAGTTATTGCAGTCATGCTCAATGCTTCAAAATACCACTTGCTAGAGGCCACAGGAAGAGGAGAGTGCTTGTGTGCACAGTCCTGCTTATGGATTGGCCACTGTCAGAGCAGGATGCTGGCCTACCGTATTTACTCAAAAGCAATGCCCATCAAATCTTAACACGCACTTCAATTTTCAAAACCTTGAAACAACAACAAAAGTATTTGCTGGCGAATGTCATATGCATCAGGAAAAAGTGCGCTCTTTACAACAATGAGTTTTTTTTATGATTTCACTTTTACAGAAAAAACCCACCTTCTATTCCTTGATAAACATTATTATTATTATTCCTCAAAACTATAGATGACAAATGATGAGTTACCGGGTGGGAAAAGAAAGAAGGAGGGCAAGGGGAGTAAATTATATAAAAATGAGAGCAAAACAGGGGGTTTAAAATCAGGAGTCAAACTGAGGCGCCGAACTGCTAGCGAAACTCCAATATAAAATTTAGCATTCTTTATTAAATCCAAAAAAGGCAAAAAGTCAGACTCTGGACTTGAGTTAAAGTTAAAGATCAAAACAAAGAGAGGGTATTTAAAAATTAAGTCTCAATTTTAAAAAAAAAATAAACTTGAGGGCATGCCAAATGGCAGCAGAAGCAGATTTGCAAGTCTCAGTTGTTCAAGGACAAAGGTGGCAATCTCCAGGAGAGGCCATTCAGGGTCCGAGGCCTGTTCAATCTTCTCTCCCGAGAGCCGCCATTTTCCGTTTCAAATACCACCTCTGTGAGAATGGGCCACTGTGCCCACACCTGCAGCCAGACTCTTTTCTGTGGGACAAGGCCAGTTCCTGCGACACTTCACCTTGTTTGCTGGTAAGGTCAAGTCCTTGTTCTTAGGACAATCTTCAGCCAGTGGCCGGTGCGCCGAGCGGGGCAAGTAGGATGTCCATGCATTCACACAAGCAAAACCTCGCAACATGCACAGAACCCCCGACTCGCTTCACCTGGCTGCTACAGTTTCTGTGGACCAACTTGGCTGACACACACACACATCCAGCTGTGGCAAGGACAGGGGCAGGGCGGGGCCTCCTGGTTGGCAGGAGCCCGACTTTTTCATGGTGCCCAAAGGAAGAAAAGCAGACCCAGTAGGACTTGGATCACCCCATCTAGGTGATCAAATCTAATGTGCCATCAAATCTAACACACACCTTAATTTTCGCGATGGTATTTGGCCAAAAAAGGTGTGCATTAGATTCAAGTAAATAACTGTAGTTGGGTCATTGGCCTGAACCAGCAGGCTCTTTTTATGTTCTTAGGAAACTGTTATGGCTGGGGAACATTTAATAATCAAGCTCTGTCTGCTTTTTGGGAGGCGTGTGCACACCAACAAGAGTGGCTTATTCCTTTCGTAAGGGCCTTGCAAATCCTTCTGAGAGAAGCGCATGTGCACATTAAGCAGCGTTTCACAACCTGATACCCTCCAGATGTGTTGAACAATCTACCATCCCATCATTCCTCACACAGGAGGCTGGTCAGTATGGACAGAGAAGTCCCTACCCAGCTGCCTATGTGGTCACACCATCAAATAAGTTCTTAGGTCTTCATTTTTACAAAACACACTTTGTGTGTGCTGGGGTGAACAGCACTGTGTGTACACAAGAGAGGCTTCAAATGAATAATGGCATTGGGGTAGCTGATTTTCCCTATCCTTTCATGTTTGACCCACTGAAGTGAGGAGAAGCTTTGGGATATCTGCTATTTTTATTTGTTTGATGACACAGCCATGTACGCCCAAGGAAAGTATGTTATCTGAAGGCTTGAGTTAGAATTATCTTTCAATAAAATGGCACTGTGCAGAATCACAGAGCAGTTTGCTAAAGGATTGCAGCTTCCAAAAACATAAGCAGGCCAAAAAGTATGTAGCTCAGCAAAGCAAGTCTCCTTGAACCTCAGGATATTTGCTTTATAGCTAATGTTTATTTCAGCTATCCAAAACCCACAAATAGCTGAATGGAGGCTAGCTTTATTCTGCCTTTGGCATATCTTTTAACTGAAATTACATCCTGCAGCATCTTTGTATTTGGTTAAAATCTCCTGGCGTGAACCAGCTGCTTGCTTATGAAAGGGAACAGAAATAAAAGTGTCTTAAGAAGAAAACAATAGGCTTTTTATTTAAGCAAAACCCCAACAGGCCGAGACAATTCAAAAAGGAGAATTTAACTGTGATAGGGCCTAGCATAGTTCAAGTTAGAATAATATTTAGATCCAGGATTTTGTATGGCTAAAATCAAGGCCGTCAGGGGTCTTTGGAGAATGGACTGTAATGGGCCACATCCTCCTTACCCAGCTGTGAACTCTCATATGAAATGTTTGTTCTGGTGCTTACACAGAGAGAAACTATTATGCGTAACATAATAATGTAAGCAGAGCCCTGCTGATTCAGGCCAATGGCCCATCTAGTCCAGCATTCTGTTCTCACAGTGGCCATCCAGATGTCTATGGGAAACCTGCAAGCAGGACTGGAACACAAGAGCATTCTCCAGAAGCTGGTATTCAGAAGCATTGCTGCCTTCAGCTGTGAGGGGCAGAGCATTGTGGTGTAGTGGTTAAGAGTGGTGGACTCGTAATCTGGGGAACTGGGTTCGCGTCTCCCGCTCCTCCACATGCAGCTGCTGGGTGACCTTGGGCTAGTCACACTTCTTTGAAGTCTCTCAGCCTCACTCACCTCACGGAGTGTTTGTTGTGGGGGAGGAAGGGAAAGGAGAATGTTAGCCGCTTTGAGACTCCTTCAGGTAGTGATAAAGTGGGATATCAAATCCAAACTCTTCTATGGCTAGTTGACATTGAGAGCCTTATCCTCCATGAATTTGTCTAACTCTCAAAGTCATCCAAGTTTATGGTCCTCTCTGCCTCCTATGGGAGTGAGTTCCCAGCTCTGCATGAAGAAGAGCTTTCTTTTATCTGTCTGCTACTTCCTGAAATTTTGCTTTTTTAAAAAAATATCCAGCTATTGCATCTAATGGGTTTATTAACATCAACATCATGCTGTCTGCATATAGGGTGATCAGATGCTCATTACCTTGAACATCTGGACCTGTAAACTATAGAGGCTAAACATGCAGTTGCTAAAAAATAAGTAAGATTGGACATAGTGGACGTCC